AAGCTATAATTAAATTAAAAATATATCGTATTTAAACTTTTTTATATTTTATTAAGATTTAGGACAAGGTTTTTAAACAACGTCTTAGAGTCCAAAAGGATAAAAAATAATAAAATACACGTTATAGAAGAAATTTTATAATCGAAATTATTCCGGTTTTTAAAAGCAATAATCAGATAAATTGCCAAAAGTCGAAACATTTATGTTGGCTAATATTTATAAATACAAATTCCCAATTTATTGGAATCTGAATTACTAGGAAAAAAAAGAGAGGTATGTAACATTTATTCTTTGTAGTTAATTGAGGCATATTTAAGTATAAGAAAAGGTACCTACTGTTACGAACTTTTATATAGTTATAAATATTAATGTTATAAACTTATTTTTCAGATCAGGTAGGGAGACGTATGGAGATAATGCGTGAAAAGGACAGCTTTTTTATATATTTTTTACATACCCTTGTTATTTTAAAGATTGTTTTTTTTACGATATTATATAAATTAAATTGTTTATCGTATTGAAAATATTATACAAGGTGTCCCATAAGCAAAACGTCAAAATTAAGATAATTTTTAAGTGAAACACCGGTATATTTTTGGATTCTTCGAAATTTCTAGATATTCTATATATATTTCATGTATAATATGTCCTATACCTATCTTCAAATGTTTATTGAAATATTTACACGCGGTTCATAACGACAATTTGATTCTCGAAATACCAAGTTGAAAAGCAAAAATACCTACTATTTTCTGGACTTAGTCTTTTTGAGACACCCTGTATACCTAGAATTAATTTTAAAAGAGATATGTATGAAAAACAATGCAACTTTTTTATTTAATGTTTTCTTCTAAAACTTGCAGTTAAGGCTGTATGTGGGTGTCAAAAATATAATGAATAACCCTTTACATTCAATTCATTATCTATCTATGTAAGACAATATACATAAATATATGAACTTACATCAAAATGATCTTCACAACAATAAATCGTAAAACAGAGGATAATTTAACGTATTTATCTTTCATATCTTCTCATGGCCTTGGGCCTTTTTTCTGTTTTCGCTTATCCATTACTATTTATAAATATCACTAATTGTTTAATTATGTAATTAATTAACACAAATAACTAAAATTTTGACTTAGATTCAAGAGCGTTTAGAATAAGCAAACTGTGTAAAATATTTTAATAAAACATTATTAATTATTAACAGGGTTATAATTATGATTTTGTTACAATGTAAGTAAGTAAATAATGTAATGTAAGAGAAAAAATTCAGATTTTACATACTCCCAATGGGTAAATTGAGAGTTGCCTACCGGTCAAAAAGTCGTTTCAAGACTTAAATGGATTATTTAAGTCAAATTTTTGGGCCTTTTTTTTTCTGTTTTCGCTTATCCATTACTATTTATAAATATCACTAATTACTAATTATGTATTAATTAACACAAATAACTAAAATTTTGACTCGGATTCAACAGCGTTTAAAAGCAAACTGTGTAAAATAAACACGCGTCTGGCTCCACTCAACCAGAAGAACGGCGGGTGACGTCACAGCGACAAGGCGCGGCAGAGAGCGTTTGCCCGGCCATTTAAATTAACAATATTTAATTATTTTATATTAGAGGCATTTCTTAACCGATTTCAACGATTTTTTTTTGTTCAATTTGTAATTATATGAACTATTTTTTAAAACCATTATTTAAAAACATGCATTTTCCTCATTATGATTAATTTAAAGACATTCATTTCAGACAAATATCTATCTAACCAAATTTTTTTTTAAATGTCATGTATTGACTATTTCCAGCCTAAATATCTTGAGGACGGTTGCTTGTAGCGATTTTTACCAAGAGACATTTTTTACGTAAAAAATCACGGAAATGTATATTTTTTCACTCAGTAATTTTATACAGGTACGAACGAAAAGTTATTACACTTTAAAAAAGTTAAAACACATGTAGGTGGCGCCCCCTACAAATAGGAGTCATATTGACATAAAAATAAATGCTCGGACGCCAATTTTCATCCAAATATTGACTTTACTTCAGAGATTATTTGGAAAAAATCGAAATAAAAATGAAACTTCTACACCCTGTATATCCGAAACTAAGCACTTTAGGACATATATTTATACGAACTTTTTACTTATATTTATCTGCAGAATATTTTTTATTTGTTTTCCGAAATACAGTTCTGACCACCCTGTATAGATATTTGCTAATAGCTTATCGTTGCCTATTACCAAGAATCGCACATTTCCCAGAGTGACATTCAAATTTATACATTCAGTTTTATTAAAATCCATAACAAAAAAAAATTACTTTACCTACGGTTCAAAAAACAATTTTTTTACATAATAACAGTAGTATTATATCCCCATTTACTACCATATTTAATATGCATACACCTGTATTTCAAAGGAATACCGATATAGCTACTTCCAGTCTTCATTTCCTTAAAAACCACATTAATTAGAGAACCTAATTGGCCCCAATTTTGCAAAACATCGTAATTGGACGATTAACAGTGAATCCTTCGTTCAATCTAACGTTGTTTCAACCGATTCTAGTGAATAAGCACGGAGAAAGAAGCATATGGCGGTATATTATGATAATGGCTAACTGTTTTGCATTGTGAAATAGTTACCGAGACAGACAAACGTCGAATAGACGGAAAAATGAACGTACTGTGTACTTTTTGATTAAATATGCCAATGAAACGTGGTTCGAATTCCTTTTTAGGCCTAAGTCGAGCGGTTTAAGGTCGATGGGATGTGTCATAGTTTCATAGAGATAGTACGTACTATGAGTAAAATACCAACGTGATTTGTATTTACATTCTTACTTTTTTCCATAGCAACCTTTAAAATTGCCTTATATCTATCAAAAATAGTAGAAAAAATAGTACTTTAACCGCAAGGGTAGATTAAGTGATACTCACAGCGGGGATAGGTTAAAAACTTTATTTCTTCTCGCACGTTTTTTAATTGCTTCCATTTTTGAAAATTTTTGCATTCCTTTACATAAGTTATTCGGAATTTAAATGGAAGTAATTTGGATATGGCGTTTGTCACCTCAGCCTGAATATCTGTTGGTAATTTACTTATTTCGTTTTGAGCCATTTCTGGCTGCAATTCAATCAGCAATCGACAAGGAAGACAATTAAAAAATATTGACTCAAAACTGACAACTAAAGAGACAGCTTTATTTATTTGTCAAATTACATAGAAACCAACGCCAACCCAGCACAATATTTTTCTATTCGTAATAAACTCCTTGAAATAATAATTTCTGAATATTTTTTAAAATGTAACTAACTGGCAAAAAATATTGTTGTATACACGACGATAAAATTGCATTATCGTCTCCCGAAATTAATTCACGAGCGATAAAATCGCTCTAAAATATCTTGGAAAACTTTTGCTTGGGGAGTATGCAACCTTTTGAAGAGACATATGATTGACTATTGACTCCATTAAATATAACTCCAAAGAAAGTAAAACTCCAAACCAAACACATTTTTTCAGTATAATGTTGTATTTCTATCAAACTTTTAACTTTGCAACTGGTCAAACACCACTAAGTTTATAAAAATTAAGTTTCATTTCATAACATCGGTGTTTCTCTTTATCAATTGATCATCATCAAATTTCCAAATGATCAAACAATCTATCTCTAATTCGATCTTTATTTCATTTGGAAGGACCCATAACCGACATTGACTAAAAAAGCGTGAAGGCAACCATATGGTGTCTGACACGAAAATGTAAGCGATGCATGTACGAAATGAAGCCAAATTTTGGGTCAATGCCCACCAAATTTTGAATTATTCCATTCTGCAATCGTACGAAGTATGTGCTGTGCGTTTTGTATCTTTTTATTTCACACACACACTTTACTTCAACCGCTCTTTTTTTATTATTGATACCTAGGTATTAACACTTGGTACTAGAAATTTTATAGTTACCAGATATTTACAAATAATATATTTAAGAAAAAATAATGTCTATACTCTGTTTTTTTTTCTCAGGTAAGATTTCGACAGACCTTGACAGAAAAAAAACAGATAACGTCCCATACCAATCTATTTATTTTACTAAAAAAAGTTTCTAATAATTTTTAAGTTAACTATGGATGGGTTTAAATATAAATCCGTCATGCGTCGTCTCTTGTTGTTTTGAACCAGTTTTATTGGTTTATTTCAAAAATGACAGATCGTATTTCAATTTTATTGGTTTGACGGAACGATGAACGACAAACGGACGTCGATGCGTATGAACTCGCCTTTAGATTTTTGACGCTTGTCAAAGTCTTGCCAAATTATAGGTTATAATTTTGTGTCAACTTTTGTCAAATATCCTGCGTTTTGGAAGATGATGCGTTTTGATTCGTGTTATTACGTGTGTTTTGTGTCTTTTGAAGTCAAGTAGAAGAAAAATCGAGTGAAAATTAACTGTAGACCTAGAGCACAGTTTATGGTTAACCCATTTTATCCCATTGGTGCATGAATGCACCAGCAACTTATGAAAATCAAATTTCGATTAAAATATTGTTTTGGAGCCTAGATTTTTCTACCCATTCGTTGATAATAGATTTTTGTTAATAAAAATACTTATTGAGGCTTTTCTTCTCCTCGGGTAATAAAAAATACAAACGTATAAAATGTGACAAAATAAATCTGCAAAAACTATATAATGGAATTTTGAAAAATTTCCACATTTTAATAATTATTTCCATTTTTTTATTACTACTACTAATCTGTCATGATCTTCCGTTTTTATGATAAAAAGGATGATTTACCACAGTCTCTATAAAAACCTTAATTTTTCTCCAAAATATTAGTGGTGCATTCGCGCACCGCTGGTAATAAAAATAAACTAGAAGCCGAATTTTGCCGGTCTTGACAAGTTTTGACGAACGTGTGCACAGTCATAATAATCGAATAAATGCGTTATTATTAGTTTGTGTTTCGTGTTATATGCATGTAAGTTAGCTAAGATGCCTTATAAACGATTTTTGACGCAAAGACAATTAGAAGAGGAATTGGAAAGTGTTGTTTTTGAGCTGGAAAATGATAATAATGGTAAGAAATCACTTACTTACATCTATAGTTTATAATTCAATAAAAATTTTGTTTTTTATTATTAGTTGTACTGGATGCAGTTTATATACCTCCAGACACCGATGCTTTGACAGATGAAGAAGATATAGATGATGAGAATATATTGGCGGAAACGGCAAAGCCAAACGATATTGTCGGTACTTTCGAACTTCACATCCCTAGCTCTTCCAATTCTGTAGATGTCGATCAAAATGTACGAAAACAATACGATTGGGACTCTTCTGATGAAGAAACTTTAGAAACCAAAAAACGAAAAATTACTGCTTCAGTTTCCCGTAATACTGTTCTTGCACCGCAGTGGCTCAAAGGAGAAATAGAATATACACACTCTCCAATATCAACTGAACATCAAGACAAAGAAAACGTAGCTGTAGCTGTAGGTGGTAAGACACCTTTAGAAGTGTTCTTTTTATTTTTTGACGAAGAAGTGACAGACTTAGTTTTGAGATATTCACATAAATATGCTGCAGATAATAATAGACATGACTTCATAGTCTCTAAGGAAGAATTGTTAAATTTTATAGGAATAATGTATCTTTCCGGATATCACACTTTACCACAAACTTCAATGTACTGGTCCACTGAGGAAGACAAAGGTGTGGGCATAGTGAAAAATTGCATGAGTAGAAACAGGTTTTATAGTATAAAACGAAATTTGCATCTGTCTGACAATGAACAATTAGACAAAAATGATAAGTTCTCCAAAATAAGGCCTTTTGTGGACATAATCAATAGAAAAAACTTGCAATGGGGAATTTTCAATTTTCATTTATCAATTGATGAACAAATGGTGCCATATTTTGGAAGGCATTCTTGTAAAATGTTCATCAAAGGCAAGCCGGTACGTTTTGGCTTCAAGCTTTGGTGCCTATGTTCTTCTGACGGGTATTTATTTTATACAATGCCATATGCTGGGAATCAAAAAAAAATATATTCTGAGCTTGGACTAAGCGGTGACGTTGTAATGAGTTTGTTGTCTGTTATCCAAAAGCCCAGCAACCATGAAATTTTTTTCGACAATTTTTTCTCATCTTTTCGATTATTTTCTCACCTGAAAAACACTGGTTACTTTGCTACTGGAACTATCAGAGAAAATAGGACGAATAATTGCCCTCTAGAAAATAGTAAAAGTTTTTCGAAAAAAGAACGCGGCGCTTTTGATATGGCATATGATAAAGATTCGAAAGTTTCAGTTGTACGTTGGAATGATAACTCTTGCGTAACGCTTTGTAGTAACGTACATAATGTGCAACCTATAAATAAAGTCAAACGTTATAATAGAAAAGAAAAAAAAGATGTTTTTGTTCCACAGCCTAATGTAATCACACAATATAATAAATATATGGGAGGTGTGGATTTGCACGATAACGGAATAGCCAATTACAGAACCAGAATTTTGGGGAAAAAATGGTGGTGGCCTTTATTCTGTAATACTTTGGACAGTATTATGGTGAATGCTTGGAAGCTTTATAATGTTGCTAACAATAGTAAAATATCTCAAATCGATTTCAAATCATATGTTGCACTACGTCTAATGAAATCTACAAGAGTTGCTGCAGTTATTAGAAACATTCCACAATCTATTGACGAAATTCGCTTTGATAATCAAGGCCACACCATTGTTTTCCACGAAACTAAGGCTCGAAGGAGATGTAGAGTTTGCCATAATCATAGTATGTATATATGTCAAAAATGTAAGGTACATTTGCATGTTCCGTGCTTTGCTACGTATCACCAAAAGTAATAATCTTTGTTACCAGTGGTTCATACATGCACCAAATAAAAGTTGATAAATTAGTTGTTTTTGAGCGTTTTAGTGTTTTATTTTATACTTCTAAGTAGAATGTAAGATAATTCCGATGTGTTAAGTGTACTTTAGTAGGGTTTTTATCAGTTAGGAATATTTTTAGAAAAGTTTTATTTAGTTTTTTATACCAGTGGTTCGCCAACGCACCACTATTATTTTTTTTAAAAAATGAATTGGGAATTTTCCAAAACATGAAATTTGTCTTTTTATATGTATAATAATAAAAGTATTTAAAAAAAAATGTTTTTTTTTATATATTTCTATCCCCGGGAATAAATGGGTTAATACTCGCTGCCCAGGCAGAAAGTCTTATACACCAATAAAGTTACCATCAATAAAGTTTGTATACCATCTCGCATCTCGTCGTAGATAAGTGCATCTCGTATATGGTAGAAGGATCATACTAAACACATACTAAAAACTGGAGTAGCTGTAAAATATCGACATCACACGATAGGTAAATAATGGATTTAGTACAGCAGAAAAATAATGTCAAAAAGTACTGGTTTAAAAAAATTAAAATTAAATTTAATTAATCAATCTTTAAGGTATAAAATTTGGTAAGTGTTATTATTAATAAAATAGTTTGTTTTATTTATGTTGATTTATTTATTCCTCTGGAATATTACAAATTTATATTTGTTCATAAAATATATTGATAAATATAATCATAAATGCGGGAAGTTTCATGAAGCTTGTGTTGAAAGTAAGAAATAGTTCTTTTTATATTTTTTTGGTATGTGGTGTCTTGTTCTTGTTTAATTTGTATTAACACATACCGTTTTTTGTATGCGATAAAATAACTCAATTACATTTTTTCAGTTTTATACAGTTTTTTTCACAATATTTTGAAGTAATCACTTGTCAGTCAAATTTAAATATACTTCCTGCTATGCGTTCCAGTTGTACCAACTTATTTCTTTGTAAAATAAAATAAACTACTTTAAAATTAAAATGACAGACACATCTATCACTGTCAAGGATCTTGTCGTTGGACAGACTATATATCAGGGTTGGTATGTTAAACAGTTTTTTTTAAAAACAAGTTCAAGATAATGAAAAGGCGTCATCGACAGAAAAAAAATCGTAATTGTAAAACGAACTAAAAAAAATCCATGATAGAAAAAACTCAAGTCATAAAGTTTATAAAATCTACTACGTATTTAAAAACTTAAAAAGTTTAGGTTGTAAGTGCAACACTTAACAGGCCTGTTTAATGAACTGTATTTGTTTAAATATTACGAAAAATAGGCCCATGTGTTGCCGACAGATGTAGCTATGGCAAAAATGTAGCGGGAACAACGGAACACCTGTACGAAATTTGCACCACAAGTCAGCAACAAACAGCTGTACCTTAAAAGTGTAAATTTAATGCCCAACGATATAAGACAGAGCATTATCAGAGAGCCTGTCAGGAAAAATCATAAATTTATTCGAAGCTTAGAGTAAATCCAGTATACTCTACGCACATTAAATTTATAAGAAGATTTTTAGAAAAATATATTTTAATCCTAGATCATACATACTTAGGGTTTAGAGTATACCGGGTGTTTTTCAAAAGTGGCTCATCCCTATAACGATTTTATATTTTCAGATAAAAAACGAGATTTGGTATGTTAGGATATGACATAAATGAGAATTGATTGGCGTATTCAATTAGTTTCATTCACTTCCTATTTTACCAGAAATAAATACAACATTTGATTTTTAAATGGTATTGTCGGTATTTTTTACTTTACCTGATAGAAAATTACATTCTGAATAGAATAACGTCATATGTCAACTTTTGACATTTCCACTTAAAAAACAGTAAGTATTTTAAATTTCAATCTAGAGTGCCACGGCCATAAATATAACGACAGTGACTCGAAACTCCAAGTATGTGGTACCAAATTATTCGTAAAAAATTCTTTTTCCAAATATGCTAATGATCCACCCTCGTTCAATTTGAAAAAATAGAGTTATGATTAAAAATACGATTTGGGCATCTGTTAACCGGCCAGGAAAATACACTAAAAACGAGACGATCAAATCTATTTTTCCAAAGCTCCTTGATGAAAACTTAATGGTTCTAACACATCCATAAAACTAATTGTCAATCATAATAAACAAGAATGCATTTCTTACTAATTCTGAACACTGACAAATACAGCTAATCAAAGTAATTAAGTACTAATCCTGTAAATACAGGAATGTTTATGTTTATCTCCGATAACGGCCATTACAGAGACAGGTTTTCAACATTTCCTTTTTTCACAAACTAATAATGACAATACCCAGCAACCGTCTACCATCAATGGTTCATTAATATTCAAAAAGTACCTGCTGAAGACGGCTAAACGACACGACGCGAGTCTGTCTGTCTGTTGGTCGTACCAAAGTACTAAACTTTAAATTTATATTTTGGAAAGCTGGGAAAGTTCATCAGCCCTTCTAAATTTAAATGTAGTGTCGTTAGGCGCTCTGTTAAGACGGGTAGGACCATAAAAGTTTAAGGAGCAGTAAATGTCAGTGAGATTTCAGAAATATGTGCATTTGTACGTCATATTCAGCATTATTTTACTGTTAATTCCTTGCATATTCTTCTATCATTTGCGTACATGTTCTCTATGACGAATTTAGGAAAATTATATATCTCTTTATTAATAAATTACATATTCTTGAAGCCCGTTACTGTATATTAAACAACATACTTAAAAAATGACTAGCATATTAGCGAGTTCTTGAGATACAGGAACATTTAATTAAGTACAGGCATTTTCTGAGGAACTCTAAATAAACTTTCTTATATATGGTTCATATCAAATAAATTTTTAGTTACGTCATCGAGGGCGACAATTTTTAAATTAATTGTTGCCAACAATGGATATATTCGGAGCCGTGCTGACTAAGTACCGTATGATCAAGAAAAAAGATCGTCATTTCCCATATAAACTTATATGTAAAATGACAGCGATGTTCATTTCATAGCCGTCGCTGACGCCGTTTTTTTTTCGATCATACGGTAGAATTTAAAATTCCCGCTGATTCCTAAAATATTTTGATTGAAAGAAAATATATATAAAATGGGCAACGCTGTGAGGGTCAAGCTTAATCACGTGACTAAAAGTTTATTTGGTATGAACTGTCTGCATATTGTTTACTTCACGACATTCATTCATAATATGGACCAAATATAATATCCGTATTAGCTGTGATGAAATATCTGTAGATGAATAAAAAAAATCCATTTATTATTATCTTTTTATTAACATTGAACCTAGTGATGTTAATATTTCAGAAAGTTTTGACTGTTGCAGGAGATTTCCGAAACTTTCGGAAATTTATGAAATTTTTGGAAAATTTTCAATATTACATATTTCTTGTTGATTTGAAACTTGAAAACAAAAAAGCACGAAATTAAATTTAAAAAACGTAAAACACAAATAAGTGAATTATTCTATTCCAGAATACTTTCAGGCGCCGAGCTGGTCCCATCTTCATAGAGGGTATTATAGTAGTAGTAGTACTGTCTTCGTCAGTTGCTATTTCCAGATCAAATATATTTGATGTATCATCTGGTTCTGATTCTGAAGGATGGACCTCTACCCCTACAGGTTCTAGTGGTTCTGGAGGAGTTTCATGTTGTTGAATATCATGCTCCATATCCACTTTTTATTTTTGTAGTAATACTTTATTGTTATGAGCTACGAACATTATTTTGCCGGCTCTTTGTGCAGTTAAACGATTCCTTTTGTTAGTATGGATAAAACTGTAAGTACGGAAACTTCTCTCAGTGGCTGCAGATGACGTTGGTATAGACAGCAGAGCAACAGGTAAATATTTCAACTGAGTATTTTTACACATTGCTTGCCACCAACTTAGACAGTCTACATTTTTAACTGACATCCAAACGTAGTCGGGAGCCCATAAACCCGATTTGGCGCAATAATTTGTTACATCTGTAAAAATGGCTTCTTTATTATTGACAAACTGAGGATGTTTGTTGGTGATATTGTTGATAAATTCCATAGCGGCTATGTGTTTGGTTGGTTTGGTTAACAACTTAGAAAATACGTATTTTATATCTAGTATTTCAAATACCTTCATATTTTTATTCCCGAGGAATAATCAATGTCAAAAGATAAGCTGGAGTCAAGGCTGTTTTATACCTTTTTTGAAACAGCTGAATGTTGATCAAGCTAACTTCCGGCTTCTCCAAATTATCTTTTAGTTCATTCCAAATTTCTACCGACATTTTGTTCTGCAATGTTTTATTCTCGACTTAACACAGTCATTATCTTCATATCAACATCATATTTCCAAAAAAAATCTCTTTGATCTAAGCGGCCGATATTTTTTGCGGAAATAGGGGCATCGGCAAAGTTTACAGAATAAAATATATCGGTGACCGATTTGGAAAAACGACAACCCACCGTAGAAATGTTAATATTGTCAATATCGGGCAGAGTTACAAAGATTTAGCCAATTAGGATAGGACTTTAAATTGAAAATTGATAAAAATAAAAAAAAATCGACTAAAATCAAAAAAAAAATCTAAAAACGATTTTTTTTAAATCATGATTTTTTTGCACCCTGCTCTATGATGAGTTACAACTCTAGAAAGAGGGATATAATAGATCTGTAAGGTCGCGATGATAATCTACAATAATAAATTTGTTGAATAGGTGCTTCCATAGACACTAACTAAAATAACTCACTTGGTTTTACATGCAATCTGACAACATTTTGTAGTGGAAAATCTGCCGTAGCGAGAATTTTTTTACATTTTATGATATTTATGGGATATTTCTTTTTCTCTAGTCATTAAAAAACAGCAATATAATGTTTTATGTATTTATTATATTATAATACAAAAAAATATATTTTATGTGAAAGAGTTGTAAAAAAAGATTATTTTTATTAAATGAACCACAATATGTTCAGAAAATAAGGTCATTACTTCCGAAGAGCAATACGCTTTTCTCCATCACAAAACTGGTATCGCAAAGAAGAAGAAAGTTTACAATTTATTGTTGCTATCTAGTCGAAATGCAGTAAATAACTGATAAAGAGACGCTACATGAACTTTCAGCAGCCAGCATTTTCCACTGAATTAAATATCAGAGAAATAAGTACACCTAGAGAAGTTCCAAAATAATTTTTATACACCGGATCACATTAAGAAGATGACATTTGATGTATAAGTGTGAGTCATCAAATCTGACAAGGGTGTATTCCGTTGCTTACCTTGGTTATGGTTTTATGTTCCGTTTCATTCGGTTTCCTGAAAGTTTTCTTATTATGGAACACGGTTCCTGAAAAATTCGGTTATAACTGTCACCAAACTAACCAGCGCGAGAAGGCTGGTTTTTCTGGTTTTGTTTCTCAATCAATGTCATTTATGTGACAAAAATCAAGCAAATACTGGAAGTTCGAGTGAAATTCTCATTTAATTTCTAAAATTTGTAATAATATTTTGTATTTACATCCAAAAGCAATGGAGGTAGGCAGTAAAGGTAAATAAATTTCATTAACTAAATAGAATGAATTTTTAGGGCCATTTAAACTTATCATGCAGCCATTGTTTCTTAAAGTCAGGAACATTTAAAGAAAACATGAAAAACAAGACAACAAGTAATCGTGAATGTTTTGTAAGCTATAAAAATATAAATATTGATTAGATTAGTTTATTTATTATTGATCTGTTTTAATATTGGACCTACAAATTTTCACTTGAGCTGTCTAACGAGTTTAACAGTTTATTAATAAAGTACTTTTCAATATTAAACTCCATTGGAAAGAGGAAGCAAACGTAAAAGCAGAGAATAGGTACATTAAAAATGCATAAAAGATAAATTTTATAATAGAGATATTGAAATTTAGAAAACGTCAACATTTGACGTTTCCAGTATTTTACCAAACCGTTCCGTAAAGGTTCCGTATCAAGCCGATGTTTTTCAGGAACCGCTCTTTACCGTAGTTTACCGGTCTGGTTCGCCTGGTTTTGCAACGGAATACAACCTAAGTAGAATTAAGATTACATTAAGTTTGTATTACCATAGGTTACCAGGAAAGAGTTCGACAATGACACAAAAAAAGGAGGTGACGGGCATACCAATCCATCTTTTTCAATAAATAAAGGTTCTATTTTTTTAAGATAACTATGGAAGAGTTATTATATACTAATATATACCGGGTGTTTTTAAAAAGTGGCTCACCTCTATATAGTTTTTTATTTTTTCAGATAAAACGAGATTTGGTATGTTCAGGATTGAATGACGTATTCAGTTAGTTTCGGTCACTTCCTGTTACACCGGTGTAACGGGAATTATTTGGTATTATTGTTGTATTATTTTATTTACTATTGTTAAATACGGTGAATGCGCTGGGCAAGTGCGAGGGAACCATTAAGGTTTATACCCCGCAAACAATGTGGTATTCTATTAAAAGATAGGTAGGTTTTTGCTGCCGTATGAATATTCGCAGTTTGATGGCCGATCAAATAGCCACGAGTGGCGATCAAATAGCCACGAGTGGCGATCAAATAGCCGATGATGGCCGATCAAATAGCCACGAATAGCTAATAGTGAGCTGTATCCCGGTATTAGGTGAGATTTTCTGTTTGCTAATCGCAAATTACCTGTTACCATAATTAAGGGATTTTTTGTATTAGATCGAGCCTGAAGCACTAGACTGAATAAAGCTGAGTCTGATCGTCTACACATTATTTTCCATCTCTAATTAAACCCCCACAATCCATCCCATTACACCGGAAATGACTATATGGCACCCTCGGTTTTTTTTACTTTATTTGATAGAAAATGGAATTCTGAAGAGAATGACATTTTCATATGGAAATTTTTGGCATCTTTTCTTAAGAAAATTGTATTTTAAATTTCAATCTAGAGTGCCAAGGTTGTGTTAAAAACAGTAACTTTTAATCAAGGAGTCTTGGAAAAATAGGTTCGTTCGTTCTCGGAAAAATAATTTTCGTGTCTTGTCCTGGCCAGTTAAAAGATGCCCAAATCGTATTTTTCATCATATCTCAGTTTTTCCAAATGGAACGCGAGTGGCTCCTTAGCATATTTGGAAAAAGCATTTTTTTATGAAATGGTATCGCACACTTGGTATTTCGAGTCAAATTGTCGTTATGAACCGCATGTTACAGTTTCAAATAAACTATGTGCGAAAATGTCAAAAGTTGACATATGATATGGAATTCTATTCAGAGTGTCATTTTCAATCGAATAAAGTAAAAAAATACCAGGGGTGTCATTTAAAAATCAAAAGTTGTAGTCATTTCCGTCGAAACAGGAAGTGTCCAAAAACAATTGAATACGTCAGTCAATCCTAATTTATATCAGATACTAACATATCAAATCTCGTTTCTTTTTCTGAAAAAATAAAAAAGTTATAGGAGTGAGCAACTTTGGAGACACACCCGGTAGACAATTTAGTGACTGAATACTCTGTGTTTACTTATTTCTCTGAGATTAAATCTGGATGCATTTCAATTTAAAAAATTATAGATACACTAACCCAGTTTTTTTCTTGGAGAATAATATTGTCACTTTCAAAGAAAAATATTGACTTACAAAACACATGTATCGGAAATATCAAATTTTTGAAATCTCTCTCTTATCTGTTGACTTTTGAATTAGACTCTACTAAGAAATTATTAGCCATGACACATACATATATTTGCTGGTGATAATATTACATTACCGTTTATTTAATGGTAAATATATTGATATTATATACAGACATGCGAGTTAAAATTAGATCCAATGTAGTACTGAACCAGAGAGACCAAAATTAGTACTTTATGTCTTTTTTTTTTCAATAAAATCTTATAACATTTTTTATCAAGATTATAGTTCTCAACAAAATAAATTATAGACAGTAAAAAACATCGTAAATATTCAGACACTCTTGAAAATATTGATTTAACGCCCTGTATATCAATGATTCCACGCCACACATGCATGAATAATTGAAAGCGTATTCTTTGGCGATGAAACAGAAAAAAATGACAAAACCGAATAAATATGGTGCGTGTTTCCGGCCTGTCACAAGTATAGTAGGATCGATGCCATTGTGTTTAGAGTAATAAAAAATACATTTATAAATACCGTAGATAATATAGCGATCTGCGTGGTCTGGATTTTAACGTGTAAGACAATGACGTAGACAGCTTAATGGAAAACCAAATGTATTAAAAAGAGATAAAACTTGGGTTGATACATTTCTTCTATGGGGTATTGCCGGACTTTGCATCAAAATTTTAAACCGCCCAAGTAGGCGTTTATGAAAAATGTTGCATCTAGGGTTGGAACTTTATTTTTCACAATTAGTTAGTCATTTTACTACAGCTGTAATATATTATATTTAGCTTAGATATATTATCTTATTTTTTTCTATATATATCATTGTACTCAGGAGACCGAGTTCTTTCAAAACCCGAAATAAAAAATGCAGGTCCGTATTTAAAAAAAATAAGTTGGCCTCTGTATCTCACAAATTATCAGCTAATTTGAAAATCTAAAAATACCACCAGATAGCCCTAATAAGGTGGCTACGAGAATGTGCAATTAGTTTTTTGATTTTCTAAAAAGTAACGATAGGAAAAAATAAAATGGATTTTCGAAA